TTAGTAGTGCAGAACCAACATTCCTATCTGACAATGGAAATAGTTTGATAGACTTTATGATTACATCCACAGCAACTGAGCATCTATTTACTGATATGAAAACAGATATCGATGCAGAACTATTCTCAGGTGCTCCAATACGTGGGCATGTGCCTATTTTATCATCAATAAAAACAGCATGTGTTGAAAACTCACCAGCACCCCCTAAGATGAAAATCGACTTAAGCTCAATCGACTGGGCAAAATGGTCAGATTATATTGAGGATGATCTAATAGCAAAGAAAGCAGACTTCTTTGACAGTGATGCTACATCTCAATGGGACACCATCAACTCAACAATCCATGCAGCAACATCTAAGTTTGCAACACACAAGAAATCCACCCCACATAGCAAACCTTACTGGACAGATAGACTTACTCAAATGTCTAAAGCACTTAGAGACGCAAAGAGATTATATATGAAACGTAACACCTTGTCGAACAAAGCTGCCCTAGATCATGCCAAAGGTTTGTTTGATGAAACTAGGAAAAAAGAGTGTCAAAAGTTCATTTTAACGAAGACTAACAATCTCAATGCCTCCCAATGTACAAAGTTTTGGAAAGAATTCAATCGGATGTTTTCTAAAAAACGTGACAACAAGGTAGAGCCCTTCAAGGAAGCAAGTGGTGATCTTATCACAGATTCTAAAGACATTGAAGAAATACTATTTGATAGCTTCTTTGCAGGTAAACATTTGCTGGAAAAAGGAACAGATTTTGATGCAAAGTTCTATGAAGATGTCAACAGAATCTATAAGGAATGTCTTGAATCTAATGAAAGTGAGCCCCAAGACTCTACCTACACAACCAATGATGAAGAGGATATGCTAAATGGGGAGATTACTAAAGCTGAACTTCAACACTTCTTCAAAAATTATCAAGCAGCAGGAAAAAGCTTTGATAACTTTGAATTCCATCCCGTAATGTTTAAAAAATTGGGAGGAACTGCCTGTGAATGTATTCTTGCATTGTTGAATTCATGTTTGAAGACTGGCCACTGGGTTTGGGATATTGCTGATGTAATATTTCTCAAGAAGGAAGGCAAAACTGACTACAGCAAGGCAGGATCGTATCGACCGATCTCTATAACATCCTATATTGGTAAGGTGTTTGAACAAATAATTGCTAATAGATTAGAAGAGCACCTTAGAAAGAAGGGCCTAAGCGATGAGTATCAAGAAGGGTTCACAAAAAAGCGCAACACTGTTCGTTATCTAAACAGACTGGATAATGATGTTCGTAGTCATCTTCAGAAGAAATACACGGTCATCTGTCTCTTTATAGATTTTGAAAAAGCTTTTGATAGTGTTTGGAAAAAAGGTCTCATGAAAAAGTTGTCCGACTTTGGAGTATCCAGAAGTATGTGGAGACTTATAAACAGCTTTCTCTTCAACAGAAAAGTTCGTCTTGTATTCAACAACTATACTGGCTTCATTAGAGCATGTAGAGAATTTGGACTACCACAAGGTTCAGCATTGTCTCCAATTCTATTCAAATTCTTTTTGCATGACCTTGCACAGGATCTCACCCTCAACCCAGATATAGGGGTTTTCAAGTTTGCAGATGATGGAACATTAAGGGTCAGAGGTGAAACAACACACCAGTGTCTTCTCAATCTACAGATGACATGTTATGCTATCTATAAATGGAGTATAACATGGAGAATGATAATAAACTGTGATCCCGGAAAAACTGAACTAATTGGATTTGGAACTGCAGAAAACGATGAAACGCTTCTTCCATTGTCATTTCGTCTTGGTAGCAACGAGATCAAGTTCGTCGAAAAGACCAAAGTACTAGGCTTGATAATGGATAGAAAGCTCACCTACATCGAGCACGCAAAGGATATTAACAGAAAGATACTTGGCCGGTGGGCTACAATATGCAAGTATACAAACCGCAACTGGGGATTCAGACAACATGTCATTGTAAGGCTAATTGAAGTTCTCATATATTCACGGATCCACTATGCTGGAACTGTCTGGATCAATAATAGAAGTATCAAAGAAATTGAAAGCGCTTGGTATAGGACTATAAAAGCAGCTTTGGGTGCAGTGTTCAATGTAAGGCTAACTACAGCTGAAATGATACTTGGTGTGTTGCCACTCAACATATCAAACAAAGTGAACTCAGTGAAGCACATCCTTAAACTGAATATATTCCCGAATAAAGAGGATCCACTGAAACACCTTATTGATGACCAAATGAAATCAGGCAGTTACAGCGCACTAACTGGAAAAGTAAAAGATGTATTTCAGTTTCTATTGTGGAAATCTTCGATACTTCCTGAACACTTCACTAATGAGGATCTAAAAATCATAAATAACCATGATCTAGAAAAACTCACCAGTCTATCAATAAAAGGATGCAGCTACAGTAAATCAGTGATGAAACATTACAGTGAACAGCTTTGGCAATCGTCCATAAACAGCCAGTACCAGCTGGAAGGGTATACAGAGGCACCTACAGTGAGCGCCACAAAGCTCAAGTTTCCGCCCAAAACATCAAGGCAACTTGAAACCTTGTTTCTAAGCTTGTTCTATCCGAACAACATAATGAATGAATTTCTACACCGCTTCAAAAGCAGTAAATTTGATTCTCCACTGTGTGATTGTAAGCGAGGGGCTCAAAATTCACTTCACCTGCTTACCGACTGTCCTGATGTACAAGCAGATAAAAGGAACAAAATGAGTGAGCTTCTTGAAAGACACCCTTTCCACAACATCAAAAACCAAGGCTATGGTGGGAACTCAATGTTGATATCATGGAGCAGACTTCGTGAGTTCTTTGATCTAGCACTGGAAATAACAAAGGATGCAGAAGAATTCCTTCGAATAGAGATAAAACTTTAAACAGTTGATTATATTCCAACTACCATAACTACACCATCCCTATGATTAGTGAGCCGGGTTCAATGTTAGACCGGACGAAGCATATATTTCATGAGCCGGGGTCAATGTTAGACCGGACGAAGATATGGCTACATCTCAACAGTGGATAACACAGCAGAGGTTCTATTACAGTTAAATTCTGTTACCTGAACTCAACTTAACAGTTCTAATATTATAGCATATACTATAATATTATGAAGATATTTTGTGTCAAAATGAGGCTGTTTAATCATTCTTACACACCAAAGGTTGTTGTGTGTTTTTTAATTAATTTATTATTGTTTAAAAGTTTATATTGAGAATTTTATACAGTAGTCTATAGACCAATTAAATTATTTACTGGTCACATATATGTGGTTTTAGAATTATATAATGACATTGAACGAACTTATTTATTGCGAATTCAAAGGATTGCTAGTATTTTATTTATTTGTTTTCACTTCTGCACGTTTAGGCAGTTGCTCTTGTGACCAGAGTTTTAGAGTTATATATATATATATATATACTAGTGTTAATTTATTAACGCAAACTACCTCAGTTTAATTTATTATAATTCCGTATTTTGTTTTGTAATAACATCCCATTCTTAGTGTTTTAGATTAGGTATAAATAAGTTGTAACAGACTGAACTAAATGTCACGTTTGGCTGTATATTTTGAAATAAATAAATGTGACACGACATTGACTGTTGACGCGACGCGAAAATAAACAAATTGTGTTTTGTGTGAATTTCCTGTTCGATACGTTAAAACCCCAGTTACGTCTTTTTTTCTTGCGTCGTGATCCTCATCGTCATTTCAATTAAATGCCACGATATGGCCGGCGGCCGCGCACTTGTGCGCGGCAGGCCCACAACATGAAGCAAAATAAGAAGTGATTTTCGTTTTCATAGCTAATTTATGTTCGCGCACGCGCTTACCCAGCAGACCTTACTGGCTGGCGATATTACTACGTTGTATTAGGGTATGCACGATAAAAATAAACTTGATCGGATTTTTAAAATTGTTGTACCATTATTTTCTAATGACTGTGAGAATTTTCACAGTACCAAATTTGTCATACCTTTTTGGAGATCAGTGAGTTTCGCCTACCCAGCAGACGTTTATACTGGCTGGCGATATTACTTCAGGTGATCGCGTCTTCACAGCTTGCTGAACTCCGCGCGCGCTCGTTAGTTCATTGCATTTGCACGCTTTAAACATTCCAAGAATGCAATTGCACCACGTACCACGTGATACGATTCAGCCAATCAGAGAACAAGAATCCGCAAAGTTAAAGCTCGGCACTTTTATAAGGCCCAAAATAAAACTTTTCGCGATAACTTAAAATCTACGTTGTTTTAAATTTTCCTTCTGGGGAGGAAACGTTATTTTTACAAGGCGAACATTTTATTGAAAACCAGACGTTTTTATCTCTTTTATTTTAAAAGTTAGAGCCCTACCAGTAAGGTTTCCTGGGCCTTGTTAGGGACGTGTGTAGTACCTCAGAACTAGAAGTTAAGTTGAACCCCAGTATGCTGCGTTAGTAGTAATTAGATTTGTAAATATGTGGATTAAAATGGTAAATAAACCATGTAAATTTGCAAATATTCACCGTAACATAAAGTGTCATAAAGATGAATTAGGTGAGAACTTATATGATTAAGATGAATTAAGTGATCATTTATATGATTAAGATCTGATTGGAGAGATTTGCAGAGCACTGCAGCCATTGGCCAGAAAGGACATCTAGTTTTATTAGGATTATTTATAACGAAATTATTGGATTAACAGAGTTATTGAATTCATCAATTAGTGGAACGGTATTTTAACCAGTTTTAAAAAACCGGGATTTGTATTAATAATCTGTTTGTTTGCAATACCCTGTTTTTAATAACCTGGTTGTTGCTACCTGGATAACGCGCTATACCGCCTCATCCACTGGAACTCCCCTTCCACGGAACACTCTAGGACTACAAAAGGATGGGAGACAAGTTTATCACTGCCTTTTTCTTCTGCCATCGCTCTTTCTTCGGCAAACCCGGCCCGGGGTGATTTAGTTTGCTCTCTCTCTCTCCCATGTCACTAGTCCATTAAGAAGAAGTCACCAGAACATTGCAATTGGTTCCCGTCACTTCCGTAAATTCCCGCTAAGCTAGGAAGTTTGTTGCTCGAGGTATTGTTCTATTATTATGTAACCCATTCATTAGATGTTGTTCATTGCAATGTTATTCCCAAATTATTGTTTCACATTGTTCGTAATACTAAGGTCATTCCCGATTGGTTATTATTTAGTTCCTAATAGTTTATCATTTCCTAGGTAGTATTGTGGGTGAGCCCTATCCTAACCTGCCTGCTTGTCCCAACCTTAGCAGCACCTACCTTATTATCTCGTAAGTCATTGAGCATTAATTGATACGTTCTACATATTTCGTATTCTACCGTTTACTCTATTTAACTTTATCTTGTTTAATTTTATCCTAGTTACGTAGTATATTATTGTCATTAATTAATCCGTCACTTGCTTATAATTTGTCCGTTTTCAGGACAAACCCCTCCCGCAGATTGTGCCTCGTTCCCAGCCGTTAGAAAGAATGTAGTAGAGAACGAGGGCAAATCACGGTCAGTCACTAGACTTATTTACATTGTGTAATTAATTATTATTTGTCATTATATTACGTATCACTTTATTATATGTTGATTTATCCGACCTAACGTGTCATTAGATTCTTAATTAATTATATGTCCACTTTACGTTCTCTTACCAATTCCATTTCGCAGTGATCCTAGAAGCTACCTGTCCATCGTCCAGAGAGAGAGTCAGCCAGCCCCGTTATAATACACACCAGTTCCCATTGATCACCCAGCTACCCAACTGATTTAGGGTAACGGACTTCACCATGAGATTGAACACTTATTTTATGTACTATTGGATTGGTCTTGCATTATTTTACAATCCTTATTAACTTGTTTTTATTGGTTATCTTCCAGATATAAATTCATCTAAAAGTTCGAAGTTAAAACTCTAGACATAAATTAACCTAAAAGTTCGAAGTCCATAATTATAACATAAATTCCTGTCATAAATCTACCATTGTACACTGAGAGTTTGGGTTTGAACTATGCCCTGAGTGAGTCTCAAACCGGGAGGTATTCCATAATATCGGAACCTGAATATCCATACTCTAGTTAAAAGGAGCCCATTATACGTAGTTAAATTAATAACATCACAATTTAATGAAATATAATAAATAAATAATCTCTAGAAGTCATGGAAAATTGGAGCAGTAAATAGGCCGTTAAGTAAGTTGTCGTGCTGAAATCCGAGTACGCCTCTTAACAGGCCTACCTCGTTCTCAAAAATTCCTCTTTTTCTGCAAAAACGACCATTTGTAATCTTTCACTTTTGTCTTTTTACAAAAGATGGTGAACGGAAAAAATTGTAGGTTTATACATTATAACCTATCAAGACGCGGCGACGCGCGCCGAGTTGGACTCTTCGACCATCGACGGTCTTGTCGACAGTTTTGTTTAATATTTGATATTCGGAACAAACATTTTACGAGCGTGCTAAATCACTCTACAGTCGATCTTCGAGATTGTTTTAAAAGGGCCCCCGACAATTTTGAACTGCAATCGATGTATTTTGTATTTTCGGACGCTGATTCCGAATCACCCCCCCCCCCCCCCCCCCCCCCCCCTGACACAATGACCATTGTGAATGGTCTGGCCCGGCGCACGCTACTTCGTAGCACTTGCCATCGGGCCATAAAATTTCAAGAAGAAAACGGCGCGCGCTACTTCGAAGAAATTTAGACGAGTAACATCCGTCAACCCCTGTCTCGATCACGTGATATGACCGCATAGTAGTATAAGGAAGTTAGTCTAATTTCTCGATTGGGTTTGGGTTTGAGCATATGTTTTTGTTTTGTATCACGTCGTGACCCCCACGTTCGTTTCACTATAAGTATAGAGTTTCTACGATACAGGGGGAGCCTTACCTGGGGACCTCAGGCTATTATGTTCATAAACAGAGATTCGGCGGAATGACAGGCTGAGCGCGGCCCAGTAAAAATTAGTTTGAGCAATTTCTATGGTCAGCTTTTTTATCAAGACACTTATTTTACTTCAGTGTATTCCAACAACCACATTGTTACACAAGTGCAACCAGCCAATTACAGGAAGCCGAAGGATTTATTTGGCCAGTGACGGTTATAGTAGTGACAGTGTGCAGTGTGTACCATACTTTCTTCGCCCGAGACTTTGCTGCGATGTGAAGCTCCTCATTTAACCCTCACACCCGATTTCTCGATTATTCGGCTGAGTAGACCGGGCCGGGGCTGCATAGACCACTAAGGATCCTTAGCTGAACGTCAACGACGCTCACCCCACGACCAGGCAGACAGTGGGATTTGAACCCGCAACCTCACGATTGCAAAGCTGGCGTTTTAACCAACTGCGCTACCTGGCCGCTAAAAAAGCTATAATTTGAGTTATCAAAGAATTTATACCTATTTTGTATTTTGTCATTTTTAGACCTCTTAATCAAGGCTAATCTCTCCCAACTATAATTTAGGCTCGATAGTTAAGTATGATTGGAAGGTTCTGACAAATTTTCATCATGATTCATGTTCACTGTTCAGGAACCAAAGATATGACAAAATAATACGACAAAAATCAACGAATTTCGTCAAATTACGCGACTTTTACACTTAATTTTGCTCCAAAAGCCGCGCGCCATCAAATATGGCACCTAGGCGAAACTCACTGATCATTCCAAAAAGGTATAACAAATTTGGTACTGTGAAAATGCTCACAGTCTTTAGAAAACAGTGGTACAAAAATTTTGAAAATCAGAGCAAGTTTATTTTATCGTGCACCCCCTATATAATTAGACTTAGAGGGTTAGGGTTTCGAATAGTCGTTCAGGACCAGCTAAAGAACGGGTTGAAAAGTCACGTGACAGTCGAGTGTAGGGTGATTAATCATCATCCAACATTTTACGAGTATCACCCGTTAAATGTAAAACTGTTTTTTACCGCGGCTGCAAAATTGTAAAAACCATGCAAAGTCACGCGACGTAATAATTTTTGGGCGAGCGAATTAGTAAAAGCCGATCGCAGTGTATAACTTATAAGCCATAATATTAATAAAACAACATCCTTATACGAACTAATATAATTAAAGACAACCTAAATTACAAAACAATCGTTAGGACAACAACGTGCGCCTTCAGAGGGTCAGACAGGCCATAATATTAATATTGTTTGACTTCCTGTGCTGTAATACTAATGTCAATGATGATAGGATTAGGAAAAGTGGCTAGGCCGATCCATGTGTCATACGAAACTGCGATGTTTGGACAGTTTCAATCGCATTTTAATTTTGATTTTTGATGCTTATAGTTATAACTATAAGTAACAATTTTATTTTCCCTTTGAAATACATTTTATTTTTTAAATAGATCCAACAAAAAACAGTTTAAAACGAAAATTTTAAATTTGTTATAAACGTGTTGCAAGTGCAGCGCAGTGAGCGCACGGTGAGCTACAAATCTATTTTTGGTTTGCATGGCAAGTACTTGATATCCATTTAGCTTTTATTTGTTCAAAGTGCAGTCGAGCCGGTATGCGGTACTTTTCTTTTGTTGAACATTCATGATGACACTTAATGATATCATAAAAATATGATTCATCGAAATGACAACTTTTCGATCGAGTTGAGGGTACATGGTGCAACTCTGCGATAAAATAACAAAGAAAGAATGAGTACTAGAAAAGTAACGTTAACCGAATACTTTTAAAAAATACTTTTAGTATCAATGACATATATATGATGTCCATGTCATTTTGTAAATGATATGTAGGCTTTCAACAATAAAATAAGACCAAAGACCGGATTGCACCTTGGTGTGAGAGATAGAAATTTAAATATAAAAACAAATCCACCTTTACAATTTACTTCTTCATTTACGATAGCTCGCCTTTTTGATTTCGGAGTTGCACCAGTATCAATTTCGCCGATAGAGACACGTTGAACATGGTTTACATTTATATATTCTGGTTGGCCAGATTGGCTTCCTTACAGATATTGATAAGCACAGCAGCAAACAGATTTCTCAATTTCTCAACCTCTGCTCAGGGGAAGGTGGTAGATCAACAAGGTTTGTTATAAAACTGAACCATGTTATGTATACCTGAGTATATGTTTTTTTTTAAATCTCACACTTTATTTTACTTCGGACATTCCAACAGCCACATTGTTACGCAAGTGTAACCAGCCAATTACAGGAAGCTAAAGGATTGAATTATACATTTGGCCAGTGACGGTTAAGGTAGTGTCTCAGTGTACCATACTTTCTTCGTCCGAGACTTTGCTGCAATGGGCAGCTCCTCAGTTAACACTCACACCCGATTTCTCGGGTATTCGGCTGAGTGGATCGGGGAGCTGCATAGATCACTCGAAATCCTTAGCTGAGCGTCAACGAAGCTCACCCCATGGCTGGTAGCTCAGCTTTGAATCGAACCTGGTACCTCGCGATTAACAAGCATGAAGATTTACCAACTGAGTTGACCATTGTTAATGATCTGGCCCGGCGCGCGTTATATTGTACTAGCAGGAACCCGTATAACCCTAAAAGTGTGTCAAGACCACTTGGGGGTCTAAATTTTGGGCTCTAAAATTCCTATTCCTTGGCCAATTTTTTATTTTTCATGCTGATTTGGAGGCCATTAAAGCATTTGACCCAATCAAAAGAGTTTCAGTTGTATATCTTTTAAATTTACGGTTTTTGCAGAAAGTTGCGTTAAAGTTGATGCCGTGGTGTCAGTAAAATGGTACGGATAAACACATATATATCGTCTCGCTTTATATATAGTATATATAAACAAAAGCTCTAAGAAACAGATAGTAAACAAAGTAAACATTTCTGTCCCCTAATATAATCTTTCTCAAACAAAAGTCATGAAATTTGCATACTTCTCCATTTAAGTTTAACTCTATTCCGAGCAATTAACGTTAAATAGTTCAAATCACATAAATTATTCAACGATTATTTTCGAACACTAAGGTCTTGTAGAATCAGTGAGAAAAGGTTTGACTGCGGTCTTCCACGCCGCCCTTGAAGCTGTAAGGTGTTAACAGCAAAAACAAGCGACGAATAGGCTGGACCATCTGTAGGCCCACGCAGTACACGTCCGAGCATCCTCCACCGACTACGAGCCACTTTAGCTGACAATGGTTCGCTATTGCAGCGTTTATGCAAGTTCTTGTTGGAAATGATGTGAGGGTATTTGTAATTCAAAATTGATCGCAGATGACGTCTGTGAGCAATATCTAGTTTTTCCAACACTGATTTAGGGGCAGCCCAGCAAGATGAATTGTACATTAAAACGGATACTACCAGAGCCTCATACAACAGTAGCCTCTTGCTCAGAGGGATCTTATGGTTCCAAGCTTTCTTGTATTTGTTAAACGCGGCATATCCCAGACATATCCTTCTAGAGATGTCCTCCTTACTAGTACTACAAAGCATGGAGCCAAGCGTGATTCTCTTTCTCCAGAGCTCGTTCCCTGCAATTGGCTTACCCTGATCGTCTTTAGCTCCCTTTTCAGCTAAGTTC